TCGGAGAAATTTCCTAGCTTACTACAGGTATGACAATCACAGATCAAGAGCTAGAAGTAGTAGAAACACCACACACAAGTAGATCGATTAAAAACCCTAAAAATCACCTCAACCACAATATGTCAGCAAGTAATGTAAATCAAGCACAAGTGACACAATGATTTATCCTATGGTTCGGCTCGCCACCAAGGCTTGCCTACCTCCACGTTGTTGAGGTTAGCCACTAAGGCTTAGGGCTTTCTAATCCTTCCTTGTTCTCAAGTCAAGAGACTTAACTCTTGAGATGAGGGGTGAGTTTACTAGCTTCAAGAGATGGTTACAAACCTCCCAAGGCCGCCACATAAGTTGGCAAGCTCCACGGGCGACGCTCTAACCGGCTAGGAGCCAAGCTCTAAGAGTAACAAACACAACCACTGGCCAAAACATGAACCAAGTGCTCTTTAGAGTTGGGGAATCAATGGATCTGCTCTCTAATTGAGTTTTGGACCCTTTTCCCTCAAGGACTGATGGGGAAATCAATGGATTTGCTTGGGGTCTTGAGGTCAACAATGGAGGGAGGGAGAGAGCTCCTTGTCTATTTTGGACAAGCTGGAATGAGCAAGAGGCAGAAGAGAGACATTGAGGAGGAAGAGGATGGGTATAAATATCCCCTCAGCCCCAACGGTCACTTAAGTGTGGCAGTGCCGCACCACGCAAGATAGTAAGGGTAAGAGTGAAGTGTAGACTGTGTTGGCTATAAATCTGAGTATGCTTGTGTATGTTTGAGCACTTGGTAGCACATATTAGCTTAAGCATTGTGTCCCCCTTTATAGTACGGCTTTTCCTATACTTAAATTTAAAATATAAAAGAATTTAAACCTCCTTTGAGTTTGAAGTCATCTACATTTGTAATTGGGGGCTCCTCCATTTCGTGTAGCATCCTTGAACATGAATTCCCTACTTGTCATCTCGATAAATCTCATTAGTTCTCTAATTGCGTGGTCATTATCATCAAAACCCACAATTAGGGATTGATTGCACTTTCACACCTCAACTCGATTCAACTCATCCACGGCCTCGCCATTAAGCCACCTAGCCGCCTGACCCCATCCCGCCTTGAGTTGAGCCCGGCCAAGCCTCAATTTGGCCACTTCCCCGCCACCGGGCGATTAAGGCTGTGCTCGTCCGGCGCGGGTGGCAACTCCCCAACGGAGCCGTGAGAGGCCGGTCCAGCTACACCATTAGCTCTACTTTGACTCCCTCTTCACCCTGCGCTCATCAGCCGAACCGCTACCACTACCCCAGTGCCGCTGACGTGGCCATGTCTGCCTTAGTGCACCACCACACGGCTTGGTCGCATGCGTCCAGCCCTCCTCCGCCATCCTCTACTCCAACTGTCAATTCGGCCGAGTCCACGATAAGCTCCTAATGCTCACTCGCTAGCTGGTTAGGTCTATAGCTGCCCTAGTTCACCAGAACGGTCACGTCGCCATCGTGGATGGCTGCGCGTTGCTGCAGCCCTCACCAGTGAGCCCTGCCACCCCTCACCACCACCCAGCACAAGTAGTTTAGGTCGGGGATGGCGATCGACCCGCTTGATGGGTCTGCGCATGTCCTAGGTGGCTGGCGTAGCCACCCTGTGCCGCTACTCGCCACGCCGCCATGCACAGAGTTGCCCGGGGGTGTGTGCGGGGAAATTAGGAAAAACTCAGGGGGTTAATGAATTCGTCAGAGAGAGGAAAAAATAGTGTTAGGACTTAGGTGTAGTTCGGGAGAAGTCCGAGGGCTCTTTTGCAAAAGCGCCAGTGCGCGCGGGCTCCTCCGTCGTGGGTCGTCTTACGCGTGGGCCCCATCTGCGTGGGCCGCGGGGTTGAATCCGCTTTTTCTTTGTCTTAGGAATTAGTAATAGTTTTTCCCTTTCAATTTTTGAGCTAGATTTGTATAATTGTTATAAATTCGTGTAGGTGTCTAAAAATTGCAAAACAAATTTTGTTAGGTTCTTAAAATTGTGATCTATCTGGTAGTATAGATTGATCATGCATATCTATGTTGATACTAGGGGCTATTAAATCGTTTAAAAGTATTTAATATTATTAGGATAATTATTGTAGGAATTTTTGTGGTAAATTGGTGATAGCTTTGATCTTGAAATTTTTACAGTAGCTTCATTGTATTATTATGTGCTCACTGTAATTTTTGTAGCCCTAATATAGCTTGTTTATTAGGGTAGCTACATATCCATTAAACCTTTTATGTGAATAAGAGCATAACATTGATTTAGGAAATTAAGCACTCGTTAGGGTGAGCTTGACACTTGATTTGATAGAGTTGATGGTTAGCTTAGTATCTTAGTCATTAGAGCTAGTTTGTTAGTATGGCATATGTGTTCATATTTTAAAAGTTGTTGTTGCCTAAATACTAAATTGTTGCATCATCATCGTCGCATGCATATAGAGAATGAGTCGGTGGAGATCATGACCACCAGCGAGCATGAGTTTGAGGAGATCGTCAAGGAGTACGAGGAGGAGATTCTCATGCAGGAGGAGGTCCTAAAGCCACCACTGACTGACTCAGTTAACACCGCGTCTGCCCAAGGCAAGCCCCAGTGCATAACCCTTATTTTTGATAATCACTGTATGTATATATGTGATGTGCATTTACGTTATAGGAATTTTATGGAAACCACATGCATAGATATATCTGTCATATGAGTCCTACTAATGTAGGTTTGAGTAGTTGCTATGCTTAGGTTATCGGTAGCGTGAGTAACCTACCGTTGCTCACAATAGGTGATTATTATTACTCTCATAATAAAATGATGAAGAGAAAATGGAGACCGGGCAGAGATATGACATGGGTTATTGATGGGCGTAATAAGTTGTGTCCCACGGCTATGGGGCTTAGCTTGATTACACTGTTTTCTCTGTCCATGTCAATTGAGGACCGTCCGTTGCTGTGGATGGTAGTTAGGTCACAAACTTATTATCCTAAGGACATACTTGCTTATGGGAGCGGAAAGGCTCGTTACGCTCTTGTTGTGGGTTCCGGCTCTTTCCGGACTGACTGATTGGAGGTGGGGAAAGGTGGAGGTCTAAGCACCATATTGAGATCGGGTCTCAAGTGTGGGGGCTTGGAGTCCAAGTTTGGACGGAGACTTGGACCCCATGACAGGAGTGGAATGAGTTGGTCTTATTTGTGCCTAGGGTACAAATGGGGTGTGTGTTTCGGAGTACCCAGCTGGGATACATTGGTTTGCGAATCGCCGTTTCCGTGAGACGGTATGACTTGGCTATGGTCTAGCACCGTAGTAAGAACTGGAATATGAAAGATGGTAAATTAGTTCTGATTGCTCAACACTTGTTTGAAAGTAGAACATGTGCTTACCTAGAATGGTTAGCTAATGAAGTAATCATGACTGCTAATTAAACTTAATCTTAAGGACGTACTTATAGTAATATTTTTTGCAAATAAAAAGAAAACAGCAAACCCATATTGCCTATCATACCTCTTGGAGTTGGGAAACTATTCCCACTAGTTGGGTAAGTCTTACGAGTACATTGTGTACTCAGGGTTTATTGTATCATGTTGCAGGTGCAGCTTGAGGAGTTAGCTCTTGTGTGGAGGATTCTTCGGGTGGGCACAGATGGATCCGCATATCGTTTCCGTTAGATGATTATTACATTTTCCGTTGTTTAATTATCGCACTCTGAACTCTGGTACTGTAATAAATAATTTTCAAGACTCTGTTGTACGAAATAGACTAAGTATTGTAAGCTCGTACTCATTATTGGATTCTGGATGTAAAACGTAGATTGTTTCGAGTTCTCCCGTGGGGTGTGCTCGACGGAACTATCCAATGTAGCTAACTTTTGAGGTGCTTAGTGTCTAGTGGAAGACGAGCGTCTCCTAAAGCGTATTTTTTCGGACGGTTCTGTCACATGCCCCCGCCACCGGTTCTTGACAACCAAATGTCTTGCACCGCCCACTCAGTGGCGCCCCTGATGCCGAGCTCGCCGCTAGTCAATCCGCCACCACCGCCATTTTTGCCGGCCTTTCCCGGGCCCCTCTTTCTAAGCCTGGAAACAACAAATCCCCTCCCCCCTAAGACCCGAACTGGCGGAGGAAGAAGAAAGCCGTCGCCTAATATCTCGCTGGAAATCAGGCGACTCTAGTATAGGACTGTGTTCAACAAATGTTTAATCTGCCGATGTTCTACCTAGGCCTATAAAACACCCAGGTATAGGCTATGGACAACCCCGGCCTTTCACGTGATAGAAGTGGTGTTGCTATACATTTTACTCGACTTCATGTCGGCTCGAGGCGCATGCCCGGACAGCAGGTTGATCCAGCTGAAGTCGCCACCTCTGACTTGCTATCCTAAATTTATGAGCAAAGCAATGCAGAAACGGTGCGGACTGCGGAGTGTGGGGCGTTCCATTTCTGAATTCAAATGTCGGGCTGGGAGACGGTCGCGGGCGGTCGGTGGTGGGCAAGGCAATGACAGCGGCGACGGCCAAGGCAAGGCAATAGAGCCACATTGACTTCCCCCCTCCCTCCTCCTCCTGGCGCCCGCCGCCCCTGCCTATAAATCGGGCGCGTACGCAGAGCGCGCCATTTATAGGCGCGCATCGCCCGCCCGCCACAGGCCCTCCTGCTCTTCAAGCTCTGGCCTTTGGCAGCCAATCGCCTGTTTCCTGTCTCTTCCCTTCCAGCTGCGGCTTTTTTCCCATTTCATTCACGCTCGGGTCGGGTGGGGATAAGACCGTGGCGTCATTGCCACCATCACCACCCCAAGCATCCCGGGCTGCTGCTAGCGGCGGGGCAACGGCGTTGCCTTTGCTCTGCCTCTCCTCTCGATCCGTTGCCCTGTCCCTGTTAATCGCTCGCTTAGCTTGTCTATATATAAGGCAAAACAAGGTGAGTGGTGGTTCCCTTTCCTGTGTCGCTCTTTCTTTTTGTTTCTTGTGTGGCTCCGATCGATCGATCCGGACCTCTGTCTCTCTCGTGCCCGAAAAGCTGACATGTCCGCCGGCGGCGGCGTTGCCTGCCAGCGCGCAGTGGACATGTCGTCCGACGCGGTGGCCGCCAGGAAGGGCCGGCTGAAGCAGCGCTACGACAACGAGTTCCGCCTCGTCGCAGGGTCGGCGCCCTCTCGATCTCTGCCTCTTGATTTCTTCGCTAGCTCTTGGATTGGTGCACTGCATCTGCATGCCTGCCGTTGATTAGTTTCTTGCTCCGCCATCCATCGTCGTCGTTTGCTGAATCATTGAGTCGTGCGCCATGCATGCCATGGATGGATGGCAGGTGCGTGCCGTACCGGGTGAACAAGAAGGACGACGAGGTAGGCAACCCGTGCAGCAGCCTCGGCGTCGGCGATGACACGGCGGAGGTGGAGGTGCTCATGATCTCCACGCCTAACCGGACCGACATGGTCTTCCCCAAGGTACGTATACGTACGTGAAGAAAGAAAGCTACGGCGGCGGCAGCCAGGCCAGCAGCGCCCACAGAAACACTAGCTAGTAGGAGTACTGTATGTCGATCGATTGGCGCTCCGTCGGCTTAATTACGGTAACCTGTTGGATTTGGATCGGAGTAATTGTTATTAATAATTTATTTAATTTGGCATCGATCAGGGCGGGTGGGAGGACGACGAGGACGTGTACCAGGCGGCGTCCCGCGAGGCCATGGAGGAGGCCGGCGTCAAGGGCATCATCAACGTACGTTACCAATGCTGACCTATCGGCTGATATGATATATGATAGTGTCCCTCCCCTGCTATTCCGTGAACGTGCGTGGCTAAAGATGCCTGTTGAATTTTTCGCAAAAAAAAAAAAAGATGCCTGTTGAATGAAAATTATTAAACGCAGTCTTAGTCACGAAGAGTATGCGGATGATCACCGCGATTCGGTGTCGCTTCTCTGCGAAAATCCTGATCCCCGCAGTAATTTAACGCCGCAGTTTGGAGCCATTATTGTCCACTTGATTCGTCACCTCGAAAGCTCCTGAATGCTAGTAATAATCCAGGGTGAGGTTAACGTCCCCAATCAGGCAAACTTACTTAATTAACCCCTAGTACTAGCAAACAGCCCCAAGGGCAGCGCTCCATACCATAGGCTGACAGCGACCATGCACGACAGGGAAAGGGACGGGGAAGTTTCTCTTCAGAGTTCAGAGCAGGCGTCGCATTCATTCAGTCCCTTGCCTAGAGTAGCATTAGCACTAGCAGGTGCTAGCAGCTAGCAGCGTCACCTCATTTGGTGGTTTGCGACCAAACTAAAACAATATTGGCCATGTGCAGCTTGTTTTTCCAGTTGAAATAATGTTTTAGTTTATTTTTTCAGCGAAACGAACGAAGGATTATAGCAACGATTTGCATTTGGGGGGATAAATCATGCCGTTAGCCCGCATTTTATAACGCGGTGTCCCCTAAATCATTGCGATTTCCTGGTTGACAAGCGTATTATTGTTGGCCCCTGTTTCTTGCGTACTTCGTCCGTTGGCCGGCTCGTCCTCGCCTCCTCGGAATCGATTTCCTTCTGGATCCGAGTCAATAAGCTGCTATTCTTTTTTATCTCTCTGCTCCATGCATTGTCCCCAACCACTATGCATGTGGTGTGTTTCCTGTGTGTCCTACAGTGTCCCCTGCTCCACCCATCGATGTTGATCGGCAGTCCTGTGTTTAATTTCTGCCATGATTCTGCATTTATATATCATTATATATGTTTATGATTCTGTCCCTCGATTCAACTATATGAAATGAATTGTTTTCATATACAACAACTGATAATAATGTGCATTCTACATCGCCGTGTTGACTTGCAATATTCAGTTCACTGATCATTATTCCCATCTGCATGCCGTGCTGTTCCTGCACTGACCAGAGGGCTGCCTTGGGCCACTGGGTGTTCAAGAGCAAGAGCAGCCAGAACAGCACCAGCCCCAGGGGAGCCTGCAAGGGCTACATCTTCGCCATGGAGGTCACCGAGGAGCTGGAGACGTGGCCGGAGCAGGACACACACAACCGCCGATGGGTGAGTTTGAGTTGCCCCGCCCCTCTGTCAGCAGTCAGCGTGTGCCTGCCCTGGCTACATCTCCATCACAATTCTTCAGAAAACTCACCTGACTCTGCCATGGACCATTGGAGCAGGTCTCTCCCGCCGAAGCCTACCAGCTCTGCCGGTACGACTGGATGCGGGAGGCGCTCACCGCGCTGCTGGACAGGCTGTCGGTGCTCGAGCCGGTGGCTGCGGTGGCGGCGGCGGCCACACCGGAGCTGAGCGACCAAGCTGGCATGTACATGATGCTCCAGACGTCCTCGGACGGCGCGGTGGCGCTTTGCTAGCTGATGGACACGCTGCTGTTGCTGTTGTGGATAACTGTCCGTCCCCACGTTCAATTCAAAGCAAGTGCAACCATGGCAACCAGAAGATAAAACCAAGAAATTCAGGTCCTCTCTATCTAGTCGCTCGTTTTAGGCCTTCGATTCTCAGCTAGTCATGAGTCTTCAGTATGCCTGCAAGTGTCGTCAGTCCAGTAACACAGCTGCCTCGTGTGGCCTGAGCTGAGCACCCCAGTTTGCAGGCGTTTCCCATCCACAACATTTGGTGTTGGTTGGCTAGCTTCAGAGATTAGGACAAAACTGTCCCCTTGGCCCTTGCATCATCAATGCGATTAGTGAGGGTTCCTGTGTCATCTTGTGCGGTGTAAATGTAATATGTGAAAAATGGTATGGGAATTTACCCATGTCCTGTGTCTGTAAATGCCAATAATACCCTTACATGTACTTCCTTGGAATGCTGAAAATGATGTGGATGGGCTACTAGACAGCCGTAGAACATAACTCGTTTGCACAACCCCACGATTTTATTAGATATAGAGAGAGGATCATAGAAAATCTCACAACAATTACAAACATAGGGCCATCTACAAGCTAGGCTAGCCCAACGCCTAGGGGCCACTCCATGGGCCAATTTTGCTTAATGGATTGGGTCTTTTTGAAACAATGTGCTACAACATAGAAAACATAGGCCAACGTCTAGGGCCATGGTCTAAATGGCCCTAGGCTTTCCTCTACCAATATCTACGGCAATTAGATATATTTCGTTTTGTAAAAAAATACGTGTCTCTTCCATTGTTAAAATAGTCTAAATAACGCATAAATGTATATATCCAGATTAACCATAGCAGCTATTGTAAAAAATAAGCTAGAGTAACCCATAATCTTCATCAAGATTACACATATTCGTCATTATAAAAAAAATCTAAAGTAATTTCCTAATTTACATCTAAATTACCTAGCTCCACCATTATACAAAATAATCTAAAGTAATTAAACATATTCCATTATACAAAATAATCTAAATAAATCTAAAAATTTTGAATATAAATCACCCACATCCATGATTATTAAAAGTAACATAAATGAACCCTAAATCTATGTCTAATTACCTAGATTTGACGTTAGAAAATAATATCCTAATGTAAATCTATGTATTCTTACACTTTATCAATTTTTTTGATTTCAAATAGATAAGTTATGAATTTTTAGAGATTAAAATGGATTTTTATTACTCCCTCCATCCCAAATTGCAAGACGTTTGACTTTTTTGGCCTCAAGTTTGACCACTCGTCTTATTCAAAAAATTTGTGCAAATATAGTCAAATTTAAGTCATTCTTGAAGAATTTTTATTAATAAACCAAACCACGACGAAAGAAGTGATATTTTACACAAATTTTTGAATAAGACGAGTGGTCAAACTTGATGTCAAAAAAGTCAAACGTCTTACAATTTGGGATGGATTGAGTATTAAAAAACAGGAAACCACCTTCGAAACTAGCTACGAATCAAATTTATATAGTTTTAACAGTTAGAGGGTGTCTAATACTCGGTTCATAGGTTAGGCTTGAAAATAGAACTTCTGTATAAGTTGAAGGTTGAAAAAATCGCTTTATTCTAGAAATAAAGATTTTTTTTTGAGAAACCTCTAAAAATAAAGATATATACCATTCTGACCGGACCCGGCCTTCGTTCCGAGCGAGGCAAAGGCCCAAGCGTAACTAGGGAAGGCCCATCTCCTGGTGTACCCTGCAGCAGTTCACATCGCCATCGCAGGTGAATGACAGGAGCACCCGGTTTTCTGATTTTCTCCGTCTCGGCGTTTCGCATTCTTTCTTTCTGTCGAATGTCGATCGACAGTTTGGCCTTCTCCCAAGGCTAGCCGCCGCCGCGGCCCCGACAACCACCGCCGACGCTCCGACACCACCCCCTGCCCGTCCCCTCTCCTCTCCTCTCCAATCACTCCATCCCCACCCGCGATAGCCGAATGGAGGATCTCAACCCCTCCAAGCCGTTGATTTCATCATCGCCCTAAACAAAATCGGGACTAGGATCAAGAGAAGAGAAGCTGATCTTCCATGGACCTCCCTTACCACTTGATGCGTGCCTCCTTCTCTCCGCCCATCCATGCTCCACGCCAGGATCCTGGCAGTTGAGCCCTCCTCGACAACCAAGCCTACTTCTCCGACCACGAGAACGCCACCACAGGTCGAATGCCGGACGAGGGAAGACGGCCAGCTTATCAAGGTGACCTTCTGCCTGGCGAAGACTCCGCTATTGTCACATTTCTGCATCCACTGCCCTGGCATGGGTCCGGAGAAGTTCGGTACAGAGCCCAGCATCCTCGCCACCGAGGAGCGCTTCGCCCTCCTCCGGGTCCCCATCTTCTGTCCATCCCGCCAGATGTTTCAGGAACACAGTGATTACTTCATCTACCAGGCCAGCAGCCTCTGCCGCCCCTCCCAGAAGCCACCGCTGCTTCTCTTGCTCCCCAATCCTCACCCTTTGGAATTCGCTGACGACGCGATTGGCATCCTGACCCACCACAGCCACAAAGGAGTTACCTTTGTCCTCGCCGCACTACAGCCCCAAAGCGAAATTGGTGCCTACAAGTTCCACCTGTTCAGTGGCGAGGCGGACAATTGGACCTCAAGGGTCGTGTCATGCGATCCGTCGCTGCCACAGCGCTACTCATTTTGGTGTATAGACAAGGTGATCACCATTGATACAAAAGGGGATTTGATGGGCTGGGTGGACCTCTGGCGTGGTATCTTGATGTGTGATGTGCTCAGCAAGAACCCTGTGCTTCAGTATGTTCCGTTGCCAACACCAGTGGTCCGCCATGTACCAGGCATGGGTTCTCCGGATATTGTCAGAGACATGGTTGCTGTAAGAGGCACTGTCAAGTACTTTGAGATGAAACCGAAGGTCATTGTGGAGACCAGGCGCATTCAAGGTTGGATTGCCACCACATGGAGCACCCAGATAGAACACTCATGGAAGTGGCATGAGGAGTGCATCTTCGATGTTTTTGATGTCGTCATAGACAGAAACAATCACATTGAATTGCTAGCTAGTCCAAAGGGCAATGACAACACGAAGACAATCTTGAGTCTGCGCGTGGCGTCGCCTGCTTTGAGTTTGGAGGATGATTATTTGGTTTACTTTATGGCCAAGATTCACTCCAGTGATGACAATGCTTGGATTATTTCTGTTGATATGAAGAACCAGTCGCTACAAGGGGTGGCTGAGTTTAGTGCTGAGAGAACATTGGGTGTACAATGCAACTACCTTCGAAGTACAATCTCCAAGTTTATGTACTTAAAGCAGTCCACAAGGTAACTGTATTATATTTCTTACTTAGAAAAAAATATAGGATGGGAACTTGTTTAATGGTCAGTGGTGTCTGTCAGCGTGTTCTGTTTATTTATGTCATATGTACGTACACAAGTCTACTATATGTAGCACCGGAACTTGTGCTGCACTTACCAACCTGTTCATCATGTTAAGCTGCAAATGGATAATAGTATATATACAATGGTATTATTGTTTCTAGAGTTCTAGATAAGGACATAGTGAATGTGAGTTTTAGCTGACAATTTACTGAAAATCTTTGTGCTCTGATAAATGTATTGCATATATACTAGCATTTTCACTTCATCGCTAATTCAAGTCAGTCTGATCTCAATTCTGCTACTAAAAAATCATTTGTGATGTTTTGCTTTATATGTTTTTCTTTTACTTTTGTCAAAGGTAGGCCTGAAAAGACTATTGAGTACTGATTTGGCAAAGAGATGACAAACCAGTTGTTCTTCCACTTCCTGCTTACTCATATGGCTAGATTTGTGCTCTAGAACCCTTACTCTCACTCGTTTCAGAGAGATTTATTTGGCGCAACTTTGGTTTCATATTGTAATTGCAAGAATACCTCAAACCATGTGATTATTCAAGACCTTTTATCATCCGATTTATATATACCTTATCTGGAACAACTTATTTACTAAATATGTGGTCTATTTTGTTGGCACGGACAGAGAAGGCGCTGCTGGAATGGGTGGGGTGGATGCAATTGCACGAGCAGCCACGCAAGGTGCCACAAAAGACAATGGGAATTGATTCTAATGCAACAAGTGGTAAGAATAAGGATGAGGCCTGAAGACAGAGATCCAATGGGACCTTAACAGGGTGTTTGGTTTGAAGAATCAAACAATTCTAGATAAGATGGTGCATCATGAGTCAATTCCTTAAATTTAGTGGGATGACTCTCTATTAGTCATAATACTAATTATTAGCTTGTGAGAAATGCTGTGATGATGCATCAACCTATTCTATTCCACAAACCATGTTTTAATAAATAACGGGCTAAGACATTTAGTGACGGTATTGACACCCAAAAATGTGCCAACGTGGAAATTGGGCTATACTATCAAGAGTCTAACATTAAAAAGGTGTTGGAAAATATTTGGCACGACAAACAACAAAGAAACAAGCAAAGAAGAGATGAGATAGCGCCTGCCTGACAAAGCCGGCTAAGCCGGTTCTTTTGCCTAGAGTCGGCTAAGCCGACTTCCATGTTGGCTGATTGCCCCTGTTTTCGGCCCGGCCATAGCGTCTGAGCCCGTGAAAATCGGCTTAGCTGGTTCCAAAATCAGCTTAGCGGGGTTTTATGCTGTGTACGAGTCGACTTGGTTTTCAAATCGGGTTTGAATCTATTTTTGGAGTGGGAGACTTTAAGGACTTGTTTCCTACTGGGATAAGACCAGGCCCTTTTATATATATAAGAGGATCACGATCGATTGAGTATCCCAACTTTCAATCATCAAAAACACAACACGGGGTGGAATGGGGGCGGCGACCAAGCTGGAGAGGGGTGGGTGTAGAGAAGATGGTGGATCGAGAGCAGCGGGTGGGTGGATCGGGAGAGGGAGGGCATATAGGAGTGAAAAAGGGGTGGGCCGATCAGAAATGGAGGGGAGAGTGAGAGGTAGGGCTGGGTACATATATGGGCTAGTTGGGTTTAAGTGCACTCTGTCTTCGATTTCATAGGCTAGGCTCACCCTGTTCATGTTTATCAGCCATGATACAATGTTTTTCTCTTACAACAAAACAACATCAGCCGGCTTATAAGCCACATAAATGATTAAACGAACAGGGTGATAGAGGCAGGCCTCTTAAGAGGCCGGTCACAGAAAATGGTCTTTGTTTGCAGAGGTGGTTCTCTTAGAAGGCTTTCCTATGTTAATTGATTTTTGGTGGAGAGAATTTATTGAATGTCTCTAAATAGTGTCAATATCTCTCAAAATCGCGAGGTATCTTAGGAGTCTGAGATACCATTTGAAGTTAAAAGGAACTATCTCTGAACTAAAAATCATTTCTTTAGTAGTGTACGTTGGATCGAACACGTCCTCCCATGAATCCGTTACCTCGCCTTTGTGCTTTTAGTGGATTAAACCCATTCCTACGGAAAATGGACTGAGAAAAGTGGGGGAAGAGACTGTGCCGGCCGGTAGCGAGCTCAGGTAAGCTAGAAGAGTGGAGGTTGGAGAGGATAAGCACCGTGGGTGTTGTAGCAATAAAAAAAGCTTCAATAGACTCTTATCATTTACCAACCTGTTAAGCACCTACAAATTCTCCCATGGTAGGTTATGCTGCCTTTACAGATGCTTGATGTTTCTTTTTCTTCAAGCATCTCCATAAGCACCAGTGCATTATACATGCCCTAAGTCCAAAACTTAAAGCTGGGTGGACAGGTTTTACAAGAAGAACTTACTTAACCATTTGTGCAACTCCCTAATGTTTAAGATTACAAAGGCATTTGGCATTTGTTCACAAATATAAGAGCAGACCAAGCCCTCTGTAATTTAATTAGTTTTTTTATTTCACCCGCCAGTTAGGATTAAAACCTGCCATTTAATGCCTCAGTTAGCTGAACTACTAATTAAAATCAAAATAAAGCATGCCATTTAATGAAAAGTATTAATATATTTTTCCATACTACTGAATTTATCCTAAAAATACTAGAAATATTTATGTACTACTATAAAAATGGTTTTCGCTAACACCGTTTTCACCGCCGGTCTTATAAAAACCGCTGCTGATGATTTTCACCGTCGAATCATAATACAAACAATAGGTGAAACCAACGGTGAAAATCATCACCATTTTCACCGATGGTTCATTACACGAACTCCTGGTGAAATATTTTGCACTAGATCCATCTCTGTAGAAGCCCATCCAACCCATCTGCCAACCCAATAATGGTCTGTATATAAAAACCACCCCAGAACCTAAACTATTAGCCTTCTCATTTCTTTCTCCCTCACCAGCTAGCCGCATCCTCATCTTCTCTTAGCCGTCGCCCCACCCACCCAACCCAACTGCCACTCCCCACCACCCTAACCCACGCGGTGGCAGCACATCATGGCATGACACGCAGGGGGGGGGGGCTCGTGGAGAGGCCCCTACCAATCCTACCCTGCGGTGGCGATGCTTCATGGATCAGAGCAGCCTGACCGAGCCTTGGTAGAGCGGCAGTAGCGACGGCGGGCCTCGCAGAGTGTCCTGACCAGGCCATGACAGAGAAACACGATGGGTTATCTATAGTGCAGCTCATCCTGCAGCTCAGCATGGCTAGCCTCACTACTATAGCGGGGGTTTGTAGGGGTGGCTTGTAAGGGCGGTTTTCTAGCCGCCCTTACCAAACTGTGGCTACAAATCCCCGATTTATAGGGGCGGTTCGCCAGCAGCCCCTACAAATTGGATTTGTAGGGGCGGCTGGATATGGAGCCGCCATACAAATCTGTCCATTTCCAAAGTTTCTCAAAGCTGGGACAAAAAATAGGAATTTTTTTAATCCGGTGAGGCCCCCACCGGTTAGCCCCTAAAAATCCATTAGGGGCGGCTCGTTTGGGAACCATTTATAGGTATTGAGCCGCCCCTAAAAAAAAGGAGGCGTTTCTACAAATCCTTTTTGTAGGAGTGCCTAGCCATGCCAGAACTGGTGTAGGGAACTCGACCACAGTAGATCGTGTGGGGAAGAGCCTTGACCATGGCAGATCTGGTGGTGTAGGGAACTCAGCCATGGTAGATCTGGTGGCGGAGAGGCTTGGCCATGGCAGATCCAGTGCGCGAGAGGATGGGCAATGGCGGCAATGGAGCGGTAGAGGACGGTGACGAATGCTAAGATTGTGGGCTTGACGGGCTCCAAAGGCTTAGGGCTACCTTTTCCTTCCTGATTACCATCGTCGGTTCGTATAACACCGGTGTTGATAATAATTTTAACCGCCAGTTCGAACTAGCGGTGATAGTCCTGATTATCATTGCTGAACATCACCAACAAGGGAGAAAATCGGCGGTGATAGGGTCTTTTGAATAAGCAGTGATGAGTATTCTATAGTATTGATATTTGTGGATAGGGAGTGTGAAAGCCCTAGTTTGATTTTAGATAATTGATGAAACCTATTGGACTAACCCTATGCTCTAAGTGTGGATTTGAGATAGGTATGTCCAACTCCAAGTGGTGGAGCTAAATGGCACTCATGGTGATGGAGGTGGCCAAAGATGGTGAATCAAGTGCTCCAACATGGAAAAGAAGAAAGAGAAAAACAAAATGGGCTCAAGGCAAAGGTATATGCAATAGGGCCATTTTTGTTTCGCTGGTCAAGACACTATAACGAGTGCATGTGACCGGGTTTAGGATACATAGCCATACTATGAAGAGGAAAAATCATGGTAAAAGAGGTTATCAAGTACCACTAGTTGATGTCATTTCATGCATATGCATTAGGACATGTGTGTGCTAACTTGACCCTTGGAAAATACTTTGAAAAATGCTAACACACATGCACATATGTTGGGACACATTGGTGTTAGCACATATGGAAACAAGGGTGGAAGAAAAGAGTTGAAAAGGAGGAGTTATAGGGCGTCGGACCCTGGTTTGGCAAAGGGTCGGACCATGGCGCATGGGTCCAGTGCCTAACCCTAGGTGTACAGTGTTGTCGTGAGGGCATCGGACCCTGGTGAGCGAGGGCTCCGGACCAAGGTGCATGGGTCTGGTTGGGCGTAGGTGTACATCGAGGCAGCGCCGGTGGGGTGTCGGCCCATGGTCGCCGAGTCTGGAGGTTCATGAAATAATTACGCCAGAGACAAAGAGGAGCCAAAATGTGTCGAACCCGGTGATGCATGGTCCGGAGGTATAGGCCGTACCGAGTTTGGAGCTCTCGGTGTAGTTTTTCACGAGCTCTGGACTCTGGTGCATGTTAGTTCGACCGGTCACTGTGTGGGTCTGGTCCGACAGTTTGCAGGGAGCCATTGAAGATCCAACGGTCGAGTGGACACGT